GAGCAGCGCCCGCTCCCCCGGCTCTGAGGCCTGGCCTGGCTCTGCGTTAGGGCCGCTGGCCTGCACGGTTTGTCACCTCCGTGCTCGGAAAGAGGTGGTCACGCAAGCAAAGCCAGTCAGTTCCCCCGTCTGTAAGTTCTCATACATATGCCTTCTTTTTCCATTTGGAAGTTTATTGTACAGGAGGGGCTTAAGGCCTTGAGTGCTTTGGTTGAGTCTTCTGGATGTTTGGCAGGTTAGTTAAAGAGGTAATTTGGGGTTGCAGGTGCCAGCCTGGTGAATCACACGTGCCAGCTCAGGTTCAGTGCTCACAACTGGTTCTTTACAGGAATATGACAGACCTGTGCCTGTCTCATTCAAGAGGCAAGACTGGCACATAGATTGCACTTTGTCCATCCTTGCTTTGACCCTGCCAAGAATGCAGGTGGAGATGCTTTTGCATGCAACTTCACTGTCCCAAAGGATAGTCGGAGAAAGTCTGTTAAGGATTAGCAAGGAAGGATATTCCTGTGTGGGACAGTCACAGAGCAGCATCCTCCATCATTAGAGATACTGTCATGCAGCAAGTGTTCATGGGCTCTCTGTTTTGTTTGGTTTTTTTCACATCAGAATATGGGCTCTGCTTAAACACTGTCCCAGAATACAGATGAGGGCAGAGAAGCTAATAAAGCAACTTTTTTTTTCCAATCCTGTTTTTGAGTGCAGGTAGAGTAACATTTTTTTGATCAATGGGAGACAGAGTCCACGAGTCATATAATGTCATTGTACAAAAAGGAGGAACTGAGAAGCTGGAGGTATGCATAAAATACATATTTCTTGAGAGGAGGAGAGACGATAGTACCCACAACAGTTGTTCCACCAATTCTGAGGAAGAGGGACAGTTGCATGGCCATGTTTCTCCCTCTTCTGGTATTAGTGCTGTCTTCCAAGGAGTAAAGTCAAATACAAACAGTAAAATCTGCTTGTTTTAGACATTTTGAGAGTGAGGATGACAGAATTCTTCTCTTCCTTTAGATAGTAGGTGAGAAGATGCCCAGAGTAACATCTTTTCTTGTAAGATTTGCAAGTGAACATGAGGTGATAAAAGTTACTTAGAAATCTTCCTTTAATACTATCTGCAGATTCTTTTCAGATAAAGAAAAAAAATCTTAATTTGTTGTTCAGAGTGAAAAGCAGGTGACATTTTATTTTTACTCCTAGAAATTTGAAATGTTCACAGAAAGCAGTAGAATAAACCGTCTAGTAGGAAAAATACCTTCTTATTTGGTACTGCATTTGTTTTTGGGGGGGCAAGATTTGCTGAATAAACTACTTGGCACTTGATGTATAATAAAATGATTATTGCTTTTAGTTGCATTCTACCTAAGCTTCAGGAAGACAAAGGAAAATCCAAATATTTCTAACTAATAGATGGATAATGGCATGACTCTGTGTCACCAGGTCAGTGCCATCTTGCTTTGTTTTTAATTGTTCTTGTCTTTCTTGATCTTTCTGGAACCTTATTGTCTCATTTTTAGATTGGAATCAGTTTGGGCCAGGGCTTGCTTTTTTGTGTTTATTTCCAGAAAACGTGCAGCCAACTGATCTTGATCTCTAACAAAGGTCTTTAGTTGTTTCAAAATCAGAAACAAAATAACAGAGTGCAGATTTAATTTTAAGTCTTATTTGGCTAGTACCAAATTGTAAATGGCATCCAGCATCTGTTTGATTGGTGTTAAATTAATTAGTTGAGCCGAGTTGATTGTCACAGTAAAATGGTGACTGAAGTATTTGCATTTTTGTTGGTGGTATTGGTAGTGATGTCAGGCGTCAGTTTGTGCATTGGAAATTGGCACATGTTTATGCTGTAAGAGAGACTTGCAGTCCTTGGCAGGTTAACATAGATCGGTGGAGAACAGAGGTGATTGATGTAATTAATTTTTCAAATATTCACATTTTAAAAGCATGATTTGTAAATTATTTAAGATATATCATAAAATGACTGCTAGATCGGTACAGCACTAATGTATTTATTTGATAAAGATGTGCAATAATGTGGCAATTTTGTTTAAACAAGACTTCCAGTAGGCAATACCTGCTTTTCTCCTGGTTGAGTACATTTTAGTTGTGACCATGAAGGGTCTGAGGGTGCATATCATAGGCCTGAATAAATTCTGCTTTTTTTATACTTTAAAAATGTGTATGCTGATAATGTATTAATTTTTTTCTAAGATGCTTCATGCTGAAAGTAGAGTAAGGCTCTTGGAATGTCAGGATGAAATCACAATTGAACCATGTTCTAAAAAAATGAAGCCAGCAGAAGATGCTTATGAGAAACTCTCTGATCATGATAACCAAGATATTCAAGAGGAAGTGGATGCTGAGAGAACACCAAATTATTTGTTACCAGCATATGCCTCAGATAACCAAGGGCAACGTGAAATGCAGAAGCAAGAGAAAATACCTAGTGGTGTCTTGGGAACACTGAATGAAGTGCTGCCTGAATGTAATCTAGTGCTTAGTCAGCCAGTTAATTCAGAAACTGTGCAGAATGTAAATCCTCCATTTGCATCAATAAATGACACTGAAGTTGAAGAAAATACAGGCTCTTTTATTACAAATAATGCTGGTGAAGGTGATATTAGAGATAGCAGTACATCATTCTCATTAACTAGAAGTGCATCAGACGAAGAGTTTTTTACAAGCAAAGACTTTATCGGACCGATTTACAAGCCTGCTGAAAGCAACAGACAGGACACATCGGGGAGCTGCGATGAACGCAGAAGCAGTGGGGGAGATCAGAACGAATTACATGAAAACAAACCTAAAATAAAGGAGGCAAAGAAGATGCAGACTGTTTCTTCTGCTGTACCAGCAATAGATGATGAACTGGACCAGTTCTATAAAGAAATTCACCAGCTGGAAAATGAAAATTTAGATACTGATTTTCAGGAAAAAGGGAATGAAACTTCTCAGGAGCAATATTCCCCATGTAACTGTGGTCAAACCTCACAAGAGGATTATCAGCATGTACTGTTGGGCAGCCCACAACCATTTTATGAGAATGGACAGTGTGTCTCTGGGGCACAGAAAAGTGAGAAAACAAGCAATGAGCATCAGTTTGTTGTGGAAACAAGTGTCCAGAAAACTGAAAATACCTTCAATGGACAGATAGACTCTAAATATTGGAACTACTCAGTGCCTGAATTCAGACCTGCTTGGCAGTCAACAGGGCCTTTCACAGTACCTCAGGAACCTCTTGCTCCTAGATTCAACCATCAATCACATTATCAGTTACTTAATTCCCCACTACCAAAAAAGAATGTTCTCCCTTCTCACAATGTTGAACTTTCTTACAAAAATTATCATGGTTACCATGGAAATAATGATATCAACAGTCATGATCCATTTCTCGATCGAAGTACCAGCTGTGCTCGTCATGTTGTTATCCATGCTTCTCAGGACTTCAGACATGGAAATAATGATCAGCATGGACTCCAAAGTAATGGTTTCTGTGAAACCAGGGGAGAGTGTTGGAAGGATCCCAGAGCTGGCAATACAGAAGGAATGCACAGCTTTTCTTCCCTGCAGTCACCTGAAGAAAGATTCACTTGTTCACAGAAATTTCTCCTAATCTTAAGAGGCCTACCTGGTTCAGGGAAATCAACACTTTCTCGGTAAGTCTTAAAAGTAAAGACTTAGTAAGTAAAGACTTAAAGCTTGGGAAACTGATTCAAATCAGAATCTTTAAGAATTAAAAAAAAAAATCTGTAAGCAGTTGGCAAACTTTGGTGTCTGTAAATGAGGCTATTAAAATGCAGTAATTTTCACTTAATGAGGACGTGTGGCAGTAAGTACTGAAAAAAATTAGTGCTTTTTTGTCTCCTTTAGAGTTCTGATGAACAGAAGTTGGCTTATGTTAAATATAAAATGTTACCTGTCCATTAAATTGCATAATCTCTTATTCTGAAACTTTCGGGTGTACTAGTATGTGATGATTTGCCTTTTTTTTTTTTATTGTTAAATCCATCATTTTAAAAAAAAAAAAGTTGTGTCAAATCGAGCAGTACTAATTTGACTGAACCAGAAGAACTTCTTTATGCTCATGCAAATGTCTTCAAAGACTATTAGAAGAATTTTGCTACTCTGAAAATACTTAATTTGGTTTCAGTGTGTTGATGAAACTGAGCTTAATCTCATTCATTCTTTTCCTACTATGGTCTGTCAACTTCTCTGTTTATTTGTGAACAACACATGAGAAAAGTATTCTTTTCCCTTAAAAATGTACTTGTTGAAGTCTGACAGGGTTAAAAGCAGGTACCACCTCAATTTGGATTTTCACTTTTTTTTTGGCCTAGTTTAAAAAGCACTTAAGTTGATGTAAAACACAGACACTGTCTGTATCAGGTGAAAATAGGTTTCTCTTGCATACAAAAAAAAAAAGTTACTGTATCTGTACTTACTGGGTGAGCTTCATCCAGAAACTGTATGTGACTTTTGTGGTTATTTTCTGTTGTAAGCTAAGAGTCTATTAAATAAGTACAGTGATCATGTTCTTCCTTGGTTTATGTACAAAGGAATAACCTTGCTGTTTGGTTTTTTTTCCTCTGATATTTAGTAGACCGTGATCTCCATATCATAGAAAAATACATATTAGTTAAAATTATACAAATATGTAAGTCAGAAATTTCTATTACACTTTCTAGTTACTGAGAGCTCTGTTTTGCAAACCTGCATTTCTGAAACTGCATGAGCCTGTGTGAGTATTATTATAATAATTTATTTAATGTATGAAAGCAACATAGAAAATTTAAAAAAAAAAACCCCAACCCTGTGGAAAAAATGCTGCCTCATTCAGTGCAGCAGTTGGATAATACTTAATATGAAGATATCTAATGGAATATATTGTTTTCCATGTTTTGTGTGCTGAATTGTCTTTGGGTCTTTCTCCAAATATTTTATTCATATTATGTGAAAGATTTTAAGTATCTTAAAGCTTTTATGAACACATATTCTTGCTTTTTTTGTCTCTTGCTGGTGAGATCAAGTACTAATTTCATTTAACATATGGAAAAGTAGGCACTGTGAGCTCAAGGTCAAGAATAGTCACCAAATTTGGGTGCAGAATTTGAATTGTCTGGGACTTGTTTTTCAGTGTATTCAATTATATGCAGTTTCTGATGTTCAAAGCCTGGTTGCAGTTGTTAATTCCCGTGAAATCATGTCTTGGGTACCTGGTGGTGGGGGAACTCAGAATTAACATCTACCTGTGAGGAAAATATATAGACTTCTGCAGCATGGACTAGGACAGCCAATACAGTCTTCTGATGTCATATTAGTATCCACAGGTGCCTTTGCAGGCTTGGCATCTTTAGCACCTGTAGGCAAATCTCTACCACTTGTGCTAGCAAAGTGACTGTGTGGGAAAAGCAGAAAATTAACATCATCTGTGTGGATCAGCACTAGAAGGGAATGAGATGCATCTTGCAAGTGGGTTTCCCAAGGATGAAATGACCCCAGAGCAGTAGTGACACCCAGGAATCTTCAACTCCTGTCTGCGTTTCGTGCAAGTAAGAGTTTTTAAGTACAGGCACTTTTCGTCGTGCTCTCAAACTTGAGCTGTGTCTGTCCTGAATCTTCCACTCAAGTCTTCTATTTTTGTTTTGTCTCTTCCATCCCAACTGCTTGGAATCACAGGTATGTTTTTTGAAAGTGGTTTGTGGAGGTCAACTAGTCCATCATTCTGCTTGGAGCACATCTGTCACCATTGTTGGATCAGATCAGATGTCTTTGCCTAGCTTGGTCTTGAAAAACCTACAAGTACAGAGATTGCACTTGCAATCTGATCCCACTGTCTGTGTCTGTCTCCAAACTATTCTGGTGCAGTACTACCTAAGGAATTTCTTCCTAATCTCCAAACTGAAGTTCCCAAGCCATAATTTGCATGTGTTTTCCTGTGATATAACATGTGCTCTTACCTTGGTGGATAGAATCTGGCTCATCATCTTTGCAGCTTCTTTTTCAGGTAAGGGGCTAGGCTCATTCGTGGTAATAGGCTGATATCAGATGACCTTTTACTGTCTTCATTGTCAGGCTAAACAAGCCCAGCTGCTATTAACCTCTCTTCATAGGTTGTATGCCCTTAGCCATCTTGGTAGCCATCAGTTCAACCCTTTAATGGTTTTCAGCATGTCTTTTAAACTGCGAAACCCCAAACTGGACACAGTATTTCAGAATTGGCAGCACAAGAGCCAAGTAGAGTGTGGTTGATACCTTCCATTGATCTGTTGGCCACATTCCTCAAATAAAGCCCAGCGTGTGGTTTGCTCTTCTTTTGATGAGAGCACACCATTTGCTCATCTCCAGTTTGATGTCCACTGTGATCCTCAGATCCTTTTCAGCAGGGCTGCGCAACCAGTCACTTTCCATCCTATACTGATGCTTAGGTTTCTTTTTCACCAGTTGCAGGACTTTGCTCTTTTCCTTGTTCACCTTGTTTTGCTTAGCATGGTGCTCAAGTTTCTCAGTGTCCTGTGGATAGAAGCCCTGCTGCTCACTATGTCAGGCATTGCTGCTAGTTTGGTGTCATCTACAAGTTTTCTGCCTCATCATCCAGGTTAACGGTGAAGATACTGAAAAAAAATTGGTCCCACTACCATCCCTTGCTGTACTCTGCTTGTTACTGACTGGGAGATGATGTCAGAAGCCTTGATAGTGTTAAAGTCTGATACATGTCCTCATCCACAAAGGCAGTTGTTTCATCTGAGATGCATTCTGATCAGTTAAGAATGATTTGTCTGTTGCAAAACCCACGTTGACTCTTTGTGATTACCTTCATTTCCTTCATGTATTTGGAAATAGATTCCAGGAGGATGCTCTCCATTGTCTTTCCAGGAACTGAGGTTAGGTGAGGTTGAGCAGCCTTTAGTTCCTTGGGTTCTTGTCTTTACTTGCCTTAAGTATGAGCATAAAATTAGTGATTTCCTGGTCACTGGAGAGTTCCTCTCATCTCCTTGGTTTATTTCCTCCATTCACCTGACCTAGACAGTCCCAGTCTCCTGAGGTTTATTAGAGTTCCTATCTTTTTATCCATCTATTTCCAGTTTTGTTTTCCTATTCCTGTCCAGCCATGGCTTTTGGTCTGTGTTTACTAGCTCCACATCTGCTCCTAAATTCTAAGCTGATTTTGCAGTTCCTTCTTCTCCCCCAGCTTTCCTCTCAGATTGATCTTGTCCCTGTTTCAGCTGGTGGTTATTGCCTCATTCCCAGCTTCATTGTACCAATTTCCTTTGCACATCATTCTTTCCCTTGTCCCTATTTCCTAGCTCTGCTGCCAGTACCAAATTGCTTGTTCCAGTGTTTGTACCACTACACTTCCCGTGCCCTTCCTATTTTAGGCTAATTTTGTTCCTTCTCTTGCCATTCTTAAGATTGTGTTTGGAGAAATGTCTTCTTACAATGCAGTATTGTACTGAGTCAGCTTCCTGCCACTGCCAGAATGATCTCTTCAGGAATGGGTTTACTGCAGTGAGAATCTTTGCATTTTCTGCTTTACTTTGTACAAAAATGAGTACTTTTCACTATTATTTTCTGTGCACATGGCATTTTAAAGTCCTACAGCTTGGGCAGATTTACAATAAATTTTTGCAGGAAAAACAAGTTAATGTACTTTGACAGATTAACTTCCTCATTTCCAAACTTCTCAGAGAAAAGCTTGGAATAAGAAAACATAGTAAAATGCTGTATTTCTTCCTTGATTTTGGAAACGGTTGACCATTCAGTTAGAAATTTTCTAAAACAATTTGGTTAGATACCCAGCAATGATATCTTTAGCCCAAGTAGCAAAAGTCGACTACAATTAAAAGTAGATGATAATGTGATCATATAATGCTAGAAAAAGTTGCAAGAAAACAGACTTGGATTTTTAGCATATTTTGCTACTCAACTTGGCAGCAATTGCAGTTTTCCATTTGTCCATAAATATCTGAAAATTAATTTAAAAGGAGCTTAATGAGGTTGAAAGAACAAATATTGCTGTTGTTTAAGAAGTACATTTGAATTAAATCCATCGTCAGGAGTATATAAAGACAGTTGTCTTTGTCTTGGAGCCTTTCTTCCTGAGAGCTTGATCTTCCAAATGGAAGAGGTAGAGTTAGTTTTTATAGCTGAATGTAGAAACAATTGTGAGCTGTTGTTTCAAATTATGTGTTTCTTTAAACAGTGTTACAAGCAATGCTTTTAAAGTAGCATTTACATGGCTTAGTAATACTACAGAGTTTAAAATTAGTTATTGTCAATTTTTTCCCTCATCTGTGATATTTTTTATCTATTTTAAATAGGTGAATTGTTAGATTCTAAGATTAGATTCTAATCTTCTTTATAAAATCATCTATCAAAGTAGGCTAACCAGGATGCAGGTTGGGGGACCATCTTAATTTTGAAGAAAAATTAAGGCAGGATTTGTGTGTAGTCACTTTACCTTCCCAAATTCTGTAGTTTTAGGATTATTCTTGCAAACATAGTTTACTATATTAAATCTGTTATATTCAGACAGAATTATATATAGCTTCATAAATAAACTGTGGTGTATTCTGAACTTCAAGCAATAATAACAAAATATTTCAAGAATAAACTTTGTTGATGGGTTTGCAAGATTCCCAAACCCTTGTCATTGTGTTTCTTTATTGCTACAACTGATGATGTTTGGAAGACACAACAGAAGAATTTGTGTAAGGGAATTATTCTCCAGAACACAGAGCAAACAAGAGTCAGTTCCTAGAAATAAAAGTGAATGCCCCGTTAGTCCCAGTAGTGTTGATTTATCAGTTCTTATATACTTGTACAAAAACCTGATGGTCAGGCTCTGTCGGACTGTAGGGGTGTGTCTGTCTGCTCAGGTAGTAGAAGAATCCCCGTTATCATTTGCTGTCTCTTTCATTGAGGTAGATGGTCCTTAACTCTTTAAGATGTTTGTATATAGATTCAGCACAGAAAAAGTGAGTGTGGAAGATGGATCCAGTTTTTCTAGCATTATTAATTGGCAAATGTAGCATACTGGTAAATGAGAAATTGGGCCATGTGTGAAGTCACCACCAAGTAACTTAATGAATATAAATTCCTGTGAAATGTTTTATACAAGAGAGGAATAGGTATGAAACAACAGTTTTGTGTGTGATGTATGATTTACTGGTGCCATTGTATCTACTTAGAACAAAAATATGCTTTGGATCTTTCTGTGCTCTCCTAAACTAGTGTAATACACATCTTATTAAGACATAGGCTCTAACAAAAATAATTCTTGAACAATATCCAGAATAAGTGGCTGCACTTTTGGTGTGTTGTGCTCTGCTTTATGAAAGTGTTGCAGTTTATCCTGAGGTAACTTTAATACTCTGGAACAGGGAGATAGAGGAAGAAGAAAAAACCAGCTTGTATATAGCTTTGATCATGTAACTTGACAGTTGCATCATTAGTAGTTCCTTCTGGTCCTCAGTATTCTTTTTTTGTTGTCACAGCTCTGTATTTTAAAAGCAAAAATAACCAACAACATAGTTATGGGACAATAAACGTGTAGGAGTGCATGTTAATATGTATGCTGTACTGTGTCCCAGTCTTTAAACTATGATCCATAGCAGGTCTGCTGTTGATGACAGGTGGCAAAACATAACAAAGTCCTTTTGTGGGAATGCAACTTAAGTGGCTCTTCCTGCGTGTAGGTACAGGAAAGCTTGGTGACTTATAACTAACATGTGTTTGTTCCCCTACATTATTTGGGATTTGGACAGTTCTTTTCTGTTCCTGACACCTCAGCAGTAGTGCATCCCACGTACTGCTAGTGCAGTTTGGTTTTTGTAGTCTTTGGGTAAATTGCTGATTTCTTAGCCACAATAGTTGCCTAAACTTCCATAGGACAGTGATATCTGAGTGTCACAATGGGCTATAAATGCTCTGTCACACTAGCTGGCTGTTTGCTTTTTTTCAAATTAAATATACTACAGGAAACAAAAATAATCAAGGAGGTTTTGTAATCACACTTATTCAGCAGATCAGACTTCAAACAGTATTGTACTGTTGTCTCAGTTTTACAAGATTTTCCTTTAAACCTGAATTTCCAAGGACTTCCAGAAGATAAAGTTTACATTTGGCAGGATGGGGATTGCTCACTAATATGGGTTTGATTTGTCAGAGACTCTGATGTTATTGATCAACCAGCAGTTAATTATTCCCTGTAACTTTGCTATAAGCAGTTTCTCTGACTCACAGGTATTTGTTGGTGTGCCTGAGCAACATTTAGGATGAATTCACATTAAATTCTGATGTCAGCTCTCTGATGCTTTTAGAAGGTTTGACTGTAGCATTTCATGACAATGCAAATACAGAATTCTAGAAAAGCTTAATGGATTTTTGTAGTATTCCTACATCAACTGTTGCAGTAACTTCTATAATTAATAAACATGAGTAATATAAAATATTGCAAAGTGGAGTTAAAATGAACATGTTAACAGTGAACATTGCAACTGTATCCCTCCAACTTCCCCTTTTTACCCTCATTGGCTTCACCAGTGTCTGTTACTGTTTGCAAAAGTGTATTTGAATTTTTCCCATAATCTTTTAACGTTACCCGTGCAAGAAGCAGAATGCAATGCAACTTATTCTGTCCTACAAATGAAGTAAGCTAGCTAATAAAAAATCTTTGCTGCTTGGAAATAATGGGCCTAAAAGACTGGGTAAATGTGAAATTTACACTGCAATATTTTTCTCTTTTTTATTTTTATGGATTTTAATTTGAATCCGTGTTTTATTCATTTGCTTACAAATTTGTTTTGCTTTGGTTTGTCTGTTTGTTTTCCCCCCATAAAAATTCATAGTATTTTTGAGAGAATATTTTGTCAAATGTAGTTGAAATTGGTCTATATGTCCAGAAGTCACCTTGGAATGGTATTGGCGTAGGAAACCAAGCTAAAACACTAGTCAAGTGGTTTAAGTGATTGGAGAAGTGATTGTTTTTCTCCTGATGTAAAGTAATACATAATACATGCAGGGATAGTAAAACACCTGGCTTTCTTATCACCTTGTTAGCACTAAGTATGAATGACTGGGAAAAATAATGTAGTTCACTGAGAGAAACCGAGATAGGAAAAAATCCTATCTTGAATTTCTTGTCATCTATTAGATTGAAACTACAGTACCACAAGATGTGGTAACCCCTGTAGCAGCTTACTGCTGCTCAACCAAGGGAGGTCTCCACTGATAGTTATTCACTTTTAATGTATTATCTTTTGGGGCCTTTTCTTAAATGGGCTCGACTTCTAAAGCTTTAGAAAAGTAACCTGGGGGTGATGGGGAGAATCACAGAATGGTAGGGGTTGGAAGGGACCTCAGGAGATCATCTAATCCAACCCCCCTGCCAAAGCAGGTACATCTAGAGCAGGTTACACAGGAAAGTGTCCAGGTGGGTTTTGAACATCTCCAGAGATGGAGACTCCACAACCTCTCTGGGCAGCCTGTTCCAGTGCTCTGTCACCCTCACAGTAAAGAAGTTTTTCCTGAAGTTTTTGTGGAACTTCTGGTGTTCCAGTTTTTGCCCATTGCCCCTTGTCCTCTCACTGGATACTACTGAAAAGAGCCCAGCCTCATTCAGATATTTAAAGACATTGATAAGATCCCCTCTCAGTCTTCTCTCTTCCAGGCTGAAGAGTCCCAGCTCTCTCAGCCTCTCCTCATAAGGCAGAGGCTCCAGGCCCCTCATCATCTTTGTGACCTCTGCTGGACTCTCTCTGAAGATCCCTGTCCCTCTTGAACTGAGGGGCCCAGAACTGGACACAAAACTCCAGATGTGGCCTCACCAGGGCAGAGTAGAGGGGGAGGAGAACCTCCCTTGACCTGCTGGCCACACTCTTTTTTTAATGCACCTCAGGATACTCTTGGCCTTCCTGGCCACGAGGGTACACTGTAGAAAGAGAGGGAAAAGGATTGATTTCTTCTGAGTGTGAATTCCAGTGGCTTATAGATCCAGAGAGTGCCAGAGCTGATGAGAAAATAGAGGCAAGTAAGACTGTGTCACTGGGATGTGGAGAAGGCATAGAACTGGAATAGAAGTATATAGGATCTTGAAGAAATATGGACATTCTTCTGTAATCCTGACTTTCATTAGTGGAACAACTTTGAAAGTTTATTGTGATCTTTTACTTTTTCCTGAAAATAGGGAAATTACTGTAAACATGAACAGTTTTCTTGTGCTGTTCCTGTTTGACCCACCTCGTATGTGTAAGCAGCATGGGCAAAGGTCAGAAGAGGGCATGTTGAGAGTTCAAGGTGCTGAAAAAGGATTTAAACATTCATTTCATTTCTGAGGTGAATCCAGATTCCTCATGGTCAGATTGGTTTCTAGAGGTAATTCCAAATGAGAACCAATGTGAAAAATATTAGTAAATACATTAAATTATTATGAGGCAATTAGAACTTGCTCCAGTATAACCATAAATTAAATGGGTACAAACATCTCTTGGGGATGGAGGAGAAGAACCAACCAATACAGAAATAGTAGGGAGGATGAAATATATTGCTTTAATTTGGATTAGAATTATTGGTAATACATCTGAGTGTACTGATAAATCAATTTGAAGTTTGATTGAAACAGAAACATGGCACAGTTAAATTTATCTTAGCTATATTCTTTTTTCAGTGTCTTTTTTTCGTATCTGAAAAATGAAAGTTATAATATTTTTGTATTTTCCTTTGTTTAACAGTATTCTGCTTGGTCAGAGTCGTTACGGCATTGTATTCAGCACCGATGATTATTTTCGTCAACAAGATGGGTATACATATAATGCTGCTCAGCTTGGTGATGCCCACGACTGGAACCAGAAGAGAGGTTTGGATGCATAAGAGGAATCCTACTAGATTATGCTTATATTTAGAAAATAGAAGTATAGCATAATGTTCATGTGTGTTAATAGGCTATATGAAAAGGAATGTGTGTATATATGTATATTTTAGTATAGGGTATGGCTATATAGAATTATGTATTTAAAGTATTTTTCATATTTTAATTAATGTGTGTGTGTATATATATATATACACATTAAATTTTGAATTTACAAAAGGTTCAGATTTAAAAATAGCTCATCTCTCTTCTTTGTGCAATGACCTGCTGATGTGTTACATTTGATACTAGTATCTTGATGGCAGTATTGAACCTTTCTAATGCTGGCAAGAGCAGACTGTGCTCTTGTTTCCAGTATCTTTCCTGATCTGAGGTTCATCCAGAATTTATTGAAGAGTTTTTCTGAGGAAGATTTTAGTTTGCTTGTGTAGATCAACAGTTTTAATAAGTCATCTTTCTTAATACCTAGCAGTGTCCAGAGGTTTGGTTTAATTGGTAAGGAAGTAGATGCCTGGGGTAAGAAGGGTAGCAGACAGATTCTTGCTCTTGCGGTAGGAGTTTTCTAAGTGTCTCATTATCCCTTTGGTCTGCTCCAAGGAGTGGACAAACTGAGCAACTCCATTGCCTGTGCGGGCGGATCACTCCCTGTGCTGCCGTGTCTCAAGCAGAAGCTTCCTTTCTGTCTGGAGGGCTTCTTTGCATCAAAAGATACAGAGGGCCAAGGAAAAAAATATTCTTTTGCTACCTTTATGAATCTTTTTTGAAATGCGTATTTCTGGATTTTTCCCTTGTTTCTGTCAGCCTACCAGTCTTGTTTTCCAGATCCGGGTTTCAGAAAGTTCATTTGTGCCAGGTTCATGAAACCAGGGCAATATATTTTTCTCTTTTTTTTTTTTTTTTTTAAATAGCTTTTTCCATCAATTTTTAGTGCTCTTGTTGGAACATATTTTATCTTTGCTTTTTTCTTCCTTTCCATGTACACTTACTTCCCAGCCTGTTCATTTAATTTCTTCCTATTGTATGGATTGCTTCCCATCAAGTTAAATCCCTACTTCTCTACAATAACTTAGGGTTTTTATTCCTTCAGATCCCCGCTTCACTCACTCAGTGCACAGATTGAGCAGTGTTCACTAAATGGGCAGGTGAATACATCAACTGATGTATTTTCTTTTTTTAATCCTCGTGCTCATTGTGGATCTCCCTTTTCTTTTAATGCACGCTATTTTAACTTTGTGTAATGGAACATTATTAATTCTCCTGGAAACTTTTTTGTATGAGTGTTATTTTAGTATTTTGAACTTCAGATATTTCAGTCCCTTCATCTAGTTCATCACTGTAACTTTCCTAGGGGTATTATATTGTGAATTTTTCATTGGCAAGCTAAGGCATGTGTTACTAGAAACACCTTCCTATTTTGGATGCTAAACTTAACAATATAGATATTTTCTTCTTGGTATAGTAATTAAACTTCATATGTTCAGAATAAATTTTCACTCTCTTCATATTCAGGTGAATTCATATCACTTCTGTAAATGATACCTGTAACTTTTGAAATTGGGCAACCAGCAAAAGAAGATCATGCAAAGCAGTGGCCACTTTGACATAAATGGGATAATGTTTAAGAACATTCACGAAAAGATGATCCTTCTGTGTTGGCAGTCATCCTGACTTACTCATTTATCTCACAATTACTTAAAAAAAAAAAAAAAAAATGCTTGGGTCATGTTGATGATCTGATACATACCCTGATTCAGCTACAGCACAAGTCCATCACGTGTACTGAAAGAGACAGGAGTATATGGGAGGTGATAGTGCACAAATGCATACTTAAGGACAGCATGGTAATACGTATGCCCTGTAATTACTACACACCCAGCCTTAATTCAGGTATTTCCAAAGCTTCAAAGCTTCAGAGTTTTGCTTTGCAACCATAATGCTTTCTTTTTTCTTTTTCTTTTTTTTTTTTTGCTTTTGCACCTTTCTCTGTCTTTTAAAAGGACTGAATCCTCGCTCTTTTCCTGAAAGAATTTTGAAATGTGAAAATCATTATGTGTTTGTGACTCACATTACTAGTACTGCTTAGAACTAACTAAAAAAAAAAACTTCTATTGACTTCAATGTGTAGCATCAAAGCAGTTGATTTTTAAATTTTTTAAATGGAATTCATCTTCACAATGCTTCTGTAAAATAGATAAGGAATTATTGTTATGTTTTCACTGGTTAACTGAGGCACAAAGAAGCTGAGGAGTCAATTTTATAAAGGCCGTACTTTGAATTGTAAGGTGCTTTGGAGTAGTTGTAGTAGGAGTTGAGGAATCTTCTTCGTTAATCTGGTACTCAGTCATGAGTTGGAAATCTCCTTCTCCATCTGGCTTAGTTTCAGTCTGCAAAAAGAACCTCATTTACCGATTCATGCACAAAGCAGTTTTTTTCTAAAGGGGTAAAAGTTGTGTCCTTTTCTGCAAAGAAAGGCAGAGGTTTGCTTTCAAAATAAAAAGGTGAAGGAAGTTAAAATAACGAAAATTAAGCTGATTCGTCCCTAGAGTGGGATACTCAAGTAACCTCTCCAAGTACTCCTCTGCAGGACTTCCTTCTGACCTTGTGGTAAGAATAGCGTAACTGCTGTCCCGGTTTGTATAATATTGAGGTGGATATCAAGCTTATAAGGGTATAGAACTTGAGTTTTTCACTTCCTTGGGTAAGTCTCCTGTGTAGCATTATGTAGAAGCTGAATGTCATAATTATGTTCTCTAGATGCACTCAAAAAAAGTGGTTGTGCAGTGTTTTTTCAAGGGAAAAATCCTAATAATGTGGGTTATGAGACCTTGAGAATGTTTTCTAACTGTGTAAGGGATTAAGAAGAATGTCTGATCTCAAGATCAAAGTTAGATCTAGGCATAAGATAGATGCTTAATTGATTTATCAAGACTAGAGCAGTCTTGGGTTTACCATTTTCGGCACCAAGGTGACATTAAAATGTTTTCTGTGATATGGAGGTGATGAATCTCAGGTAGCCAACAGATTTGCATGTTTTGTTCCCTGACCTCCAACCAATTTCATTTCTGCACTGTGATCTCTAGGATCCTTCTGCTGGTTAAAAGCAGTATACTCTTGCTGGTCCAGAGTTAAAAGCATGCTACTGTGAAAGTGTCCTGCCACACAAATTGCATCCTGGCTGCGTTCTGTCTGTCTTTCCATCCGTAAAGATGCTGATTTGGATGTGCCTTCTTACCAGTTGCTATTGTGTAGAACTCAGAAGCAGCTTATTGTTCCTGAAGCTTCTGCACTCTTTTGGATTTGGTAGAAATTGGCCAGTGAGTTCAAACATTATTCAAGCAGAGACAGCATGGCTGGTTTGGGGTTTTTTTTATGGATCTCAGAAATGTTTTGAATATGTGATGTCTTTCTGTGAAGATCACCTATTTCTTAGCATTATGTTGGAGAAAATCTGCAATACCTAACCACAGGTCTCAGTTACGAATGCACCATGTGTTATCCAGCAGGTCTGGTAAAGCTGGAACCAGGATATGGTTTCATGACATATATATTCAGCAGCCCACAGACTTTGAGCAGTTCTGCTGTGTTGCTTTGACTTCTACACTTCTCATTTAGCCCTTTGCATCAATTCACCACCATGTGTTTTTTATGCCCTTAGTTTTTCTGACCTTCTTGCTTCTACTTCTTCCCTTTCCTGTCTCTACCTTTCAGTGCTTTTATTCCTTTTCTTAGAACAGTGCATTTCAGTCAGACTAGATTAGTGCAAAAAAAATCTGGAGCAATTTGTTTACATTTACCTTTTTGCTTGAGTTACACAGTAGTTTATTAACTTGCTCTGTTTTTCATTGCAGCAAAGGAAGCAATGGAGCAGGGAAAATCTCCGGTTATAATAGACAACACTAATACTCAAGCCTGGGAAATGAAGCCGTATGTGGAAGTGGTAGGTTTTGTTGTGCAATTGTATCATCTGTTACAGCTTTGCAAACTTATTTTCACATGTGCTAAGTTGGTCTGTTTTGTCCAGAAGCATTTTCCTTACTCACGTTTCTAAAGAGAGACTGCTTATCAATACGATCAGTAATTGGTGTGGCAATAGTTAAGACCAGTTTAAGGACTGACTTGATCTAATCTGCTTAGCCTGGAATGAAAGCTAAGATGGGTTAGGGGTAAGTGAAATTCGGCATGCTGCCACTGCAGAGTTAACTACATCAGTTTATTATACTGATCTATAAACTTTTTCTTACATTTTAGCTAATAATGATACAAATATCACACATTTCTCTTTGCTTGCTGCAGGCTCTAGAAAAGGGATACAGAGTGGAGTTCCATGAGCCAGATACTTGGTGGAAGTTTGATCCTGAAGAATTAGAAAAGTAAGGTTTATATTACAGAAATCATTGTACTTATATAGAGAGATAGATAAATATGCAGACATAAATATGTATTAGTACGTTATATTTTATTCAGTAGCTTGTTATTTAAAATATTTAACTACTAGTATAAAATGGATTTTATTTAAAAAGGCATTTGAGATATATTTTAAATTGAAGTGGTATGGATAAACAAACAGACAAATAAGTAGAGGTCCTATCTTGTTGGCCCAAAAAGTCAATATTAAAATTTTGTTGGACATGAGTAGAAAAGCCCTGTAAGAATTGCTGCTGTTATAGTGAATAATCATTCTAAGAAATCTGTTGCTACAAAATGCTGATGGCAAGAAATAAGTAGAGGACAAAAAGAAATTAGGCATTTTGCAAGAGTGCATCAATAAGTGCTTTGTTTTGTCTACTTTTATAGATGTGTCAGTGTCAAAGAACAACAGTCCATTACTAATCAGTAAAGGTTAAAAAGAAAGCTCATATTTTAGATTATTCTTTTGCAAGAAATTGTCCCCAGTCTTCAGAGGATCTGACTTACAGTACTGTTGGATGTAGGTCATTGGACTTCTGGATTGTGAGGGTGCCTGGGAAGCTGGTTATTATTCCTGGTTAATGTCTCTCTTGTCTCAGGTGTATCTGCTTTAGGAATCTATGAGGTATCAAACCAACTTAAGGATATTTCATTGTTTGGAATGTAATGTAGTATTTTCGTGGTTGATCACAAAGAGTTCTCTCACTGATTGTCATTTTATATGCTTCCAGCTGACTTGGCTTGCAGTTGTTTCAGCTTTGTAAAATAGCCCCTACAATGCACAAAGTACGTGCGTATAATACTTACATTACTGACTTGGACTTCATTGTGCTTATAAATCTTTTGAAGTTTTCACCTTTCTACCACTAACTTATTCTTAGAGATGGAGTCCTGTCTCAGTAGGATGAATTTTGATAAGTTTTTCTGTTTTGAGGTGCATCACAGCGAAGTTAGGAAGCTGTCTTAGTAATCAGACGTTTCTAGGATGTTCAGTGTGAGATTTCCATTACATGAGACAGACTCATTTTCCAGAAAAATTAATGTTTTCACATTATCTTAACAGGTAAGAGGATAAACAAGCATGAAGTGTTGTTACTGTTGAATTTTATTGTCCAGTCATTGATTGTAGGAGTAGAGTTTATATCTTTCCCAAAACCAAAGAAAAACCCTTGAACTGTGAAGCATGCTGCTGCCAGTTCTTAGGAGCTTCCTAGAAATGTTTTAGCAGCTCCAGGTGCTTTAAGTGTTTGAATAGAGGCCCAGTGTCTGAAAACTTTGTTTTTTTGAGAGTTTAGAAAAGGTGGTGGTGTGAGGTTTCATTTTGGTTTTCGATTGTTTGGGAAAGGGCTCAATTTTTAAGGTTTGTTTGTTGTTGGGTTCCCCCCCATATTTGTGTGTTTGGGAAATAGATGATGATAGAGGTGTTATTGTGGTTTAGGAATTTTGAGCTCAACATTTTGTGCAGTACCCAGGCAAATACTATGCTAATAATAAATTTGGGTAATTTTATTGGTTGTCTGGAGTCATAAATTCTAATTCCCTCCTAGACAGGATCACTTAAGACTCTTTGGTTTTGGTAGTTGGAATAAAAAATAAAATAGCTGCTACTTTAATTAGCAAAAGACTTTTCTTATCTTTTGCATACATGCTCCTCATTTATTTGTTTTTAGTGATGCTGTCTAGATTGTTAGTAGCTTTTATCAAGTGATATGTTGATACTCTAGAAACCAGGTGCATTTCTAGATACTGTTTTAATAGGGTTGTTTCTACCACCACTTGGCGTGTTTGAGAAATCTGTGAAAAGGCTCAAGAATGTGACAGATGTTTTACTGTGAAATGGGGATCGGTGTCTTTATCTTCTAGTGTGCCTGTGAGTTACAAATTATCTTTAGAGTCACTCATGAGTGATTTTGCTTTTAGTTTAGTTTTGTGCACATAACTTTTGTGAAAACATCTTGACTCCGCAAACACATGTCTTATGGTAGTGCTCAAGACTTCCTGCATAGCTTTTAGATCTTTATATAAAGGATTTGGTACTTTGATAGCATTTTTAGTAAATCTTGAAAAATGCAGGTGAGACAACAGATGGGTGGCAAAATCACTGGTGGAAGAGAGAGACTTTTAATACTTTTAAAAATTATTATTATTATTTTTTTCTTTTTAAGTATTTAATCAGCGTTGGATGAAAAAATTACTTTCCATCATGTTTGTATGGTTTTTGAGTAACTGGTCAGTTGGGAAAGAGAAGTTTTTTTAAAAAAAAGTATATGTTTGATTCAAACTTTTGGGGAATAACAGGTATCCTGTGTATAATCTGTATTTTGGGATGGATGTTGCTTTAATTTTTAAAAAGTTACCTACTGTGTAACTTTGCACAGAAGTGAAATGCAAACGTGTTCGATAAGATCTGTTTTGCTTCAGTATGATCATAAAATCGCAATTTGGTATTGGCTTCATTAAACTTGTGCTGATTCTTTAAGTAGTAGTGGCTATACAGGATTACTTTGCCAGTATATTGGTATGTAAGATTCCTCCAGTGTAGAAGCATTTAATAGTGACAGAACTTCACAGTCAAGTGCTTCATAGAATCCCCATATTTCTAGGGGATTGACTTTTTTTCTCCATATTAACCTTGTTCATATTTGTGAATAAAATCAAAACTGTTAAGACTTGTTAACTGATAAGTTCAACATGCTAGTGCTCCTGGACTTCTTTATCACAATGTAGAAATTAGTGGCATTTAAACAATGAGCTGCTTGGGATGATCACTCTTGTTTCTGATGTTGTCTCAGGAAAGATGTGTATGAGAGAAATGCTCCATTTAAGCCCCTTCTTCCCAGAAAAAAGAGCTAATAAAATGCACTTTAAGGAGCCAGTGTAATTCTGAGTACTTCTGAGATCACAATTTTTTTTTCCATTCTGAGTGTGAAACCAGTGTGGTACCTGCAGTATGCTTTGAACCCTCATCAACTTGGTACATAGTTCTTTGTTGTAATAATATACACAAACTCCTGTGGGAGGGGAAGGAAATCAGTCTTACTCTACATAGAGTATCTTCTCTCCAGTATAGCCAGTTTGTTCCCAGTATTGATTTCTCCTCCATACAACTGAGCAAGCTGGTAAGGAGGCCCATGCCTCTTCTGTTCCTGGCAGAAAGCACAAAAGTGCAAGCCTATATTCCCTATGGTATGGCTTGGAATTAATTCAGTTTGGACACGGTTTCTTGGTGATAAGAATATATTGGGTTGTGATAAATGTTTGTCTACACTGTCAAAACATTTTGTTTATGTTTTGTATCTGTTTGTTTAGATTCAGTTCTGTTACAGCACTGGCAATTCTCTGACATTCAGTTTGTGCACGAGCCTCATGGTGTTTTGGGGGTTTTTTTGTCAGAGACTGAAATTTTCTGCTAGCATGGATTTTAAGATCCTATTCCATAGATACTAAGGAGGTAGATACATTCTAATGTAATGTCTAATGTCTCAGGTTCTTAACAGGCTGCGTTCTCACTGAAAGTAGCTGTTCACTAAACACTGCAAGAATAGGACAACACTTTTTGCCTCTCTTCCTTTATATGTGTTTTTGTACATTTCTAAATTTACAGCAAGTGTCATTGAGCCTAATAGATAAAGGTACCATGAGCATGCTGTTCTGGTTCAAAACTAAAATTGCTCCTTATTTTATATAGAGATTTATTGATGAGAAAATATTACAGAATCGCAGGGGCTGGAAGGGACCTCAGGAGATCATCTAGTCCAACCCCCCTGCCAAAGCAGGTTCCCTACAACAGGTTGCACAGGAAAGCATCCAGGCAGGTTTTGAACATCTCCAGAGATGGAGACTCCACAGCCTCTCTGGGCAGCCTGTTCCAGTGCTCTGTCACCCTCACAGTAAAGAAGTTTTTCCTGAAGTTTCTGTGGAACTTTTGGTATTCTAGTTTTTGCCTATTGCCCCTTGTCCTCTCACTGGGTACTGCCAAAAAGAGGCCGGCCCCATTCAGATATTTACAGACATTGATAAGATCCCCTCTCAGTCTTCTCTCTTCCAGGCTGAAGAGTCCCAGCTCTCTCAGCCTTTCCTCATACAGGAGATGCTCCAGGCCCCTCATCATCTTTGTGGCCTCCACTGGACTCTCTGTAGAAGATCCCTGTCCCTCTTGAACTGAGGAGCCCAGAACTGGACGCAGTATTCCAGACGTGGCCCCACCAGGGCAGAGTAGAGGGGGAGGAGAACCTTCCATAGAGGAGGTCATTAAGTCTTGAAAGCATATAGTTTCATTTCTTTATTCTAGTTTGAACATTGCTTTCATCAGTAGTAGTAGTCTATAATATTATTAATCTCTCTACTCATTAGCTAGTATACTGTGTAAAATCTGATGAATAAATAGAAAGCAAAGTCCTTCTAGGGTTATTTGGGTACATAGTCCTGGTGAATAACATCACATGTCTGTATGAATAATGACTGTTATTGTTTTCTGTTATTTAATATATGCAGTAGTGAATTCTTAAAGTAAACCATAATGCAAGTTGAATACTGAGAGAATGAGAATACAGTGTAATAAAAGTGAAATTTCAAATATGAAAAGCAAGAAGAAAAATTGAGAAGTTAGAGGATTTTTTCTTAAAGATTGTAAACATATAAACATACCAGACAATTTATTGAAATTTTTATTTTTGTAGGAGGAATAAACATGGGGTCACTCGTGAGAAGATTGCTCAGATGTTGGAACGATATGAATATCAAATATCCATACCTATTGTCATGAATTCAGTGGTTCCTCCCCACAAAAACACTCAAAGGCCACCTCTGCAGCGAAGACATAGGTGGGGAGGCAATACAGACTCATGGAATTCTTTCAGTATTTCCAGTAGCTAATAACACAGTTGCACTCAGTTAATAAAAATCTGTTACCTGCCCTTCTAAAACACATCATCACCTCCAATAAAGTAGTGGATCTTTTGTGTTTTAAATAAGTATTTCAAGACCATTTTCTTCTGCAGGTTGTTCCTTTAACGGACTTGCATGTAAATAAAACTGTACATTAACTGTTTTTTAAAACTATATTTATTACACTTGTAATAACTTTGATTTTAGTAAAATATTTAATGTAGTATGACATATAGCAGAGTCTTCCTTCATAAACCTAAGACAATGATGTTGTCATATATCAAGTAACTGTTGAGCAGTTTTTTTTAAAAGAAGAGGTCATATTAGAGATCTTTTAAAAGAGAATTAAAGTCCCAGAAGAAGAGGTTATTTATGTAATAACCAGTTTTCATGATTGTCATTTAGTCATATTTTAGGAGGTTTTTTGAAAACAATTTTCCTGGATTGTCCTTTTGTTCTATTTGGCATGTATTGCCAATTGGCAAAATTTTGGCATGTATCTTCTGGTTTCAGTTGTGATGTTTGGTTTTTTTGGTCTTGGAAGCTCATCTGGCAGCTGAAGTAACATTCTGCCAATACAGTATTCACCAGCCTTAAACCGTGCAACCTGAATTATTTTTTTATTTGTTTGTTCTCAGTGGTAGAATACAAACTGTGATGGTGGCTGCACACCACCAACTTTTTTGTGCTGACTAAAAAAACCTAAATTTTATCACTAAAACCCCAAAATTTCACAGCTATGTTTTTGTAAGTCAGTTTATATAATTTGGGATAAAAATTAAGTTTTAAAGCATTAGGCTGTCAAGTCCCGTCCACAGTTGGGACGCATCAATTCAATATAAATAGTGGATATAATTCTGTAAAACCATGTTGGCATTCCTAATTTTGGCACGGCCAATGTGATCTGTTTAGCACAAACAAAGAATGAACCAGCATGGAGACTGACTAATTTGCTGCCCTTTTTCTCTTAAAAAATGATGAATTTGTAAGTTTTCACTTTGCTTGCTTTCTAACAGCTTGCTGTATTAATAAAATATATTTGTCTTCAGTGTTGTTTTGGTAGTTCAATGCAACAGGTTTTATTCTTTTCAAGCTTGTGGGATTTTATACAGATGAGCATTACTAACTGGCTAGCTAAAATAACCTGTCTTCAGGTCTTACTACGTTTGATTTTCTTGTACATTGAATGAGTAAATCCTGAATAGGAAATTATGTCAAGAACATGAGTAAGTAGTTAAAAGAATTTTCAGGGTTTTCTGTTACTAATGTGGTGCAATAGCCATCAGAATTTTGAAAATTCCAAAGCCAGCGTAATTTTTTTAAACTTATAAACAATTTTTGAATAGACTCTAAAAATTACTTCATTTTTAAAGTCTGAATACCATGAAAGTTGAAAATTCAGGTATATAATGAAGCATCTTTCTGTGGTTTTCTACACCTATGGTGCAAATCTAACTTTGTACAATTTAATGTACATCTGCAATAACATTTTCGTAAGAGATTATTAATTATAAAAGTTGGTATGCAGTTTCACATTTTAGTAATCATTTCAATTATTTGAAAAATAATTTAAAATATTTCAATAGCGCATGAATTAATATACTGAATTATGCGTATATATAAAAAAGAAGCTCTTCAATTATATTAATTGTCTTCTGTTATTGTCTATTATTTATACCAATTATGTTACTGTATTTTAGTTTTCATGGTTATCTTTTTCCATGTCTCAAAAGAATCATGGAAATCATTGTAAATGGCCAGTAATACTTATACAAAATTATACAAAAATTTTTGTATTTAAACATGAAAGCAAATTTCAAATGGGAAGAAGATAGAAAAGGTTTAGAAAGACTCATTTAATTTACTCTATATTATTTTAAGCCATAATAAAGTGATAAAAGTTATTGAGGCTTTATGTACTATTCACACAATGGGCTAAGGTATGAAAGAAAAGTGCTGATTATTGAAAACTGATGTAATGATATCTTTTGGTACCTTCCATCTTCAGTTTTTAAAGGAAACAGAATTTTTAAAGCAATATTTAATTGATATTTAAGTTCTCTAACTGAAATTTGTATTTAAATAGACATGAGTTAATACTGTCTTAAAATGGTGCAGCATTTTTGTTTGTTATCTTTTTAATAAATTATTGGTGGATGGTGAGTATTTTTGATATGCAAAGCATGTTGATTGATAATAGGCTTGCAGTTTGCAAAGGACATAACAAGAAAGAAATGCTTTGCAACTTGGCACTGTATCAAACATTTCTCGTAAGCTGCTTAGCCTGTAAAGCTGTATTCCAAGGTAAGTACAACAATGTGGTAGGTGAAAACACAGTGGAATTACTGTCTGTGTAACACAGTTTGGTTTCCTGGTATATTCATGCTTCCTGAGGATATGACAGTCATGGTCATACGTGTATCTCGGACAGTAGTTTTACACTATAATGTTTAGATGTGAAAAATAATAAAAAGATTTAGTGAAATATGTGTTGCAGGTATTGAATTTCTCCTGTTCCCTCACAAATGAGGAAAACTGCTTATTTTGTTAAAAAGCATGTACAAGAAATGTAACAACTTGCTGTGCGCTTAGACTGGGGATCTAAAAGTTTTTACTATCTGGCATTTTTATGCAATACACCTGTTGATGATAATGTACCTAGAATTAAGGTTTCCTTCTTAAATTGCTAGTTCATCATATTTCATAAAATAATAGTGTAAGATTTTTTTTTAAATGTAACTAATGCATAGAACCTTAATGTTACAACTGCATATTCTAAGTATCTGCTGCATACTTCAAACTAGTGAGGTGTTTGGTAAGTAAATTAAAGCAGAATCGTTAAGATACTCAGCTGTAGCTTTAACTTCCTACTCTTCTAAGCATGAAATTTAAGTGAGCACATACATCATCTGATTCATATAGCTGAGCAGTTACCATCAGCTGTATAGCTGTGCTATAGAAAAAATAGTTCTATTTTTTTACTGCTTCATCTAAACTGCTGTTCCTTGTTCGATTAGTTTACTTCCTGAATTATCAAAAGTTTTTGTCAGCTTTGTCTTTGACGGGTGATTTAGTGTTCTTATTTTTCTTCTGTTTGGAGAAGGAAAAAAAAGAATAATAAAACAACCCAACAATAATAAACCGCAAAACAAACATCCCCAAACCTACAGAATCAAATCCTAGGAAACCCATGTGCTGGTTTGGCTGGGACAGAGTTAATTTTCTTCATAGTAGCTGGTATGGGGCTGTGTTTTGGATTTGTGCTGAAAACAATGCTGATACCACAGGGAAGTTGTAGTTCTCGCTGAGCGGTGCTTACACAGAGCCAAGGCCTTTTCTGCTTCTCACACCACCCCACCAGTGAGTGGGCTGGGGCTGCACAAGGAGTTGGGAGGGGACAGAGCTGGGACAGCTGACCCCAACTGACCAAAGGGATATTCCAGACCTTATGATGTCATGTTCGGCAATAAAAACTGGGGAAAGAAGAAGGAAGGGGGGACATTTGGAGTGGTGGCGTTTGTCTTCCCAGTAACCGCTACACGTGATGGAGCCCAGCTTTCCTGGAGATGGCTGAACACCTGCCTGCCCATGGGAAGTAGTGATTTAATTCCTTGTTTTGCTTTGCTTGTGCAGATGGCTTTTGCTTTACCTATTAAACTGTCTTTATCTCAACCCACAAGTTTTCTCACTTTTACCTTTCTGATTCTCCCCTCCCCATCCCCCAGGTGAGAGAGTGAGCAAGTCTCTGTGTGGGTCTTGGTTGCTGGCTGGGGTCAAACCACAACTATCTAATTTAACACTTCTTTATTTTTACTTTTTGACATATGATGTTAGATGATTTCCTGTGAAGAATTCTGTCTTCTGTTCTTGTCATGTCCTCTTTAGGTTAATTTTAATCTAGTTTGCCGTGCTTTTTGTCTTTAAGAAGAAAGACAAGTGATTTGGTTTGGGTTTAGGTTTTTTTGTCTGTCTCTTTAAACCTTTGCAGAAATGGTAATTTTCCTTTGTTTTTCTTCTGTCTTGGTATTTTCTTCTTTGAGCTGATCTGTAGGATTCATTTTTAGTGAATTAGAAAAAAAAATCACATTTGAAGTGTATAGCAGTGTTGGCTGCTAGCCAAGGGCTAGTCCAGTGAAACTGTCACAACATTCATGTGAGATACCTATAGTCTGAACTTCTGCTTACTCCTAGCAATCAAGTTTTCTACAAGTGTTTTCCATCTGTGCTGGTACATCATGGAGATGAGGTGACCCGGTATATGTTGAGAATTGAGGGGTTTCCATACAAAAGTACAGAGGCACATATTACAATTCCCAGTAAAGAGCAACAAGAAGACAGTGTTGAAATGCAGTTCATAAAATTGAAATTAATTACTCAATTTAAAAGAGTGATCAGATGTTTCATCTAGGTCAGATGTGGAAATATTTCACTTCAGTGTTTCTACAGTGACACTTTCTCATTTCAGTGTTCTATGATTTCATCCTTTTGAAATAAAACCAAGAGCAGAGATTAAAGCTCTTCAGTAATCATTTCCTAGGTGAGAATCTACTTTTAGATTTTTTTTTTCTTTTTATAGGCCAATTGGTTGAAATTAGCTGTAAATCAGCTATTTTGAATTCACAGAAAAATATGTGAAAATATAGCTGGTATTTTAAGTATTTAGAAGATAAAGTAGTAAGTACCAGTGTTTGTCAAGGTCGGTTCATCTCAAATTTATTTTTGTAGTAATGAAGAAGCAGCAAGTGGTGTTTTTAGCTTGAGATACAGACTATTAATGTTATTCTGGATCAAGAATAATAAAAATGGAAGTATTGAATTTGTAATGGGTCTTTGTAATTTCCTTTTAGCTGATAATGCTGTTTGTTCATTTCTCGGGTAGGCAGGCAGTCCTTGACCATTTAGTGTGTACTTCACTGATTCACAGTCCTGTTGTAACAATACCGTCTTCTGCCAACTCAGAAGATACTGTATCCATAAAGTAATTATTTTTCAGTCTTTTTATTGATGTTAAATATTTTTTTTTTTGAGCTGTTAATCAAATTCAACTTGTCTTTTGTGGTCCCTCAAGCTGATACTGGAGTAACTGCTTTATAATTGTGTGGATCGTCCTGCTTGTCCTTTTTAAATATTTTCCTGATACTAATTCTGTAAGT